ATCACTCCAAATAGCACCTTATAAAGATAAAGTGAGACGAGTCCATACTGATGGATTTATTCTAGAAGAGAATCCTATGAAACCGCCTCTTATTGAGTGTTCAGAAGATGCATCGAAAACTTTGAAAACACTTAAATTTGAAAAGGAAAGTGAATGTTACGTTAAAAATGCTAATCAAGTTATGTGGTATTGATAAGTTTTCTATTTCCACTTTGATGTTTTGTGCAGAATCCATTTGCACTACGAGTATACTTCTTACATGATTTGATTTTACATGGTTTACCTGGTCCTTTATTTTTTCTATTCCAATGCTCATTACAGCCTTCTATTCGAGTGCAACCTTTACTACAAATAGAACCATTGATTTTAATATATGGACATGTAAAATAGGTAATGTAAAATGGAAGATCTTCTTCGACTGCCCCACCTGCTACTAATATTTCAAGATGTACTTCCCATTCTTCTGGAGTATTTCCCCATTCGTCATTTTCATTGGCAATAGCTTCATCAAGTAGTTCGAGATTTTTTAGTCTTTTTATTATATTAATCATTTTATGTATATTTATGCGCAATGTATATTCAATTTGTAGTCAAACCTTGTTATAACGAAATGTAACCAATTAAATACATCCTATAACGAACTTTTAAACATTTTGGCTCCGCATATAAAATCCGATTAGTAATAGTAATGACGTCTAAAATCAGTTACAACGAGGGTCCGTTATAACGGGGGACGAATGGTATTTTTTTTTTTTTTGTATGATCGTCCATAGAAAATTAATTACATGCATTTTTCTATTTACTACGCCTCAACTATGTATATTATTATTAAGTACGCATTAAGTACGCATTAAGTACACATTAAGTACACATTAGTACACTTGAAGTACACATTAAGTACGCATTAGTTATGATACATTATGAGATAATATAATTAATACATCATTCAAGTGTACTTCAAGTATACTTCAATTTGAGTAATATTTCTCATGAATGAAATTAAATATTAAACCGATTTTATAAGTAATACATCATTCAAGTGTACTTCAAGTATACTAATTTATTAAACCGATTTTATAAGTAATACGAAATATTGTACACATCAAAATTCTAAAAATAATTTTTTATTAATATCGTGCGACATAACAATTATCATAGAAAAAAATAAATTGCTCATACACGGAAACAAGTAATTAATCCAACTACTCCTGAAGGCGAAGTAAATCAATAGTATATAACATCTGGATGAATTGGTCGGAGAATCAAAAATAACAAAATTAGTCATACTAGCTCCGCTAAAAATAAATTCGAAAAATTCGAAAAATTATTACCTATAACCATTCGGGGCATAATAAAAAAATTCATACTCCTACTTATAGGAGTTTTAATAATAACGAATAGTTTTATTTTTTTTCATACTCCGAAATTGTTAGGTTTAAATGTAGTTGTATCATGCTAGAGTCGAGCTAGAGTCAAGCTAGAGTCACGCTAGATTTTTTCTATATAGTTATATGTAAAATATCACACTTGTGCTAGAGTCATGCTAGAGTCGTGCTAAAAATATAAATAAATCAAAAATCAAACAATTTGTCATAATTTTTTGCGTTGTACCAAAATTTGCATTTAAACATATCAATTTATTATGTATCTCAAAGAGAAAAAATATTAATATAAAACAAAAATAAAAAAATGAGCGTTACTAAACAAGAATCAATTTCTGATCGCGTTTTATCTGCACTTAGAGATGTGTTGTATTCAGCACGTAGCCAAGGGTATGAACCAGATAGTAAATTTCTAAAAAGACATATTAAATATGTAAAAGAAATTAATTCCGCATATAGTAAAAATGGAAAGGCCAGAGCTATTGCAAAGCATATTGTCCCAAATGAGGATGAGTATAATAAAAAGATTACTAGTTATCCTGATTATTATAAAGATGAACTTCTTGCTAGTCTTAAGAAACTCCTTGATCTATTTCGTGAAATATCATTAGCACCACCTCCAGCTCCAGTTAAAAAGGAAAAACGAATCCCTACTAAAGATGAATTAAATGATTTTATGGATGAAGTCTTTGGT